TCATCTCTCTGGGGTAGTAACGTATCTGAATATGAACACAAAATGGGAGATCTGATCAAAACCCACTGACCCAGCGAGACACTGATGTGTATTTTAATCACTCTCTTTGGGCCACTCAGATAATTCACTCTTCACAATAAATCTGCAAGAAGCTGTGATCTGCATTTCTCAGGGCGGTGCTTGGGAAGATCAGCATCCTGTCCTTGTGTGTTGCTCTGAAGCCCTTTGGGATGCCCTGGTGTCCCTCCTGTCCCTGGGGGCTCTGCACCGTGGTTCCCTGCCTGTGGGGTGGGAATAAGGGGCCAGGGATGATTTATTGGGCACTTGATTCCCTGTCAGACCCTGAGGAGGGGAGAGACCCRCAGGGCAGGGCTCTGGTTCGGAGTGGAAAAGTAACCACTTAGAGAAACGGATGGGTATGAGAAATRRAAAAGGGTCTCCGGAGGCAGTTTCMCCTTGGMAAACAAAAAGATTGTGGGTTTATAGTGAAAATTWCTGAAGTCAGGTTGGAATGGAGTGTGCCAGAGGAACTGTGTGTATAAATGCATAGAGAACACATAGGGAGGAGCAGGCATTCAGGTAGGACTAATGGAGAAGGCATTAATGATAATTAATGGCACTGCCCAAACCCTTGTGACTCACATTTCAGGACGGATGATGCCCATAATTGATATAAAGATGCAGACTGTTGCCTAAAACTTGCTGTGCTGTATTTTAAGTCATAAAGAAGAAGAGCTGYTGGACTTGTTTTGCATAAAGCATTTGCATTATGCAGGGATATTATTATTAACAGTACGAAGGGGTAACCCATGAGGTCATAAAATGCACGGTTCAGTGAGTGACTTTGACTGCAATTATGCATTAGAGATATTAATGAGAAAGCTGACAAATGAATTGGTGGTGCACGTAGATCTAACCACAGCAAGGAGCCCTCCACACCAGTGCTACAAAAAGTTTGCCATTTATCTTCTTTATCCACTGATGCAGATGTAAATTAAGTTTCTTTTATTCTTGTTGTTGTTGTTAGAAGTTTGTTTTTATTGCAATGGTTTTATTTTTGCAGCACAGCGTTTATTACTCTGGTTGTTTTTTTTCCTGGAATGCTGTCTGATCAGAGGGGTTGGACGAGCTGACCTCCAGAGGCTCTTCCTGGCTGAAATAATTCTGTGATTCCATGAGCACCATGCATCAGAACTCTCTGTTTAACATCACTTATCTGCCGTGGAATCTGCTCCACCAACGGGAGCCCAGGAGCCACACGGCAGGGGGGATATTAATAGGTTGCTTATTTAATGCAATCAATCAGTGCAAACTACAGATTGCCTGAGGCTGGAGAAAGGATTGTTGTGCTCACCCTTCTGCCCAGACATCTGCTCTGGGAGGCGACACCGGCTCCCAGGCCCTGGGGACAYGGGCAGGGATGGATGCCCAACAGCCAGCATGTCCCTCGAATGAATGTGATACTAATGACTCGGGAGCTGGCCATGGCTGGAACATAGCAAATGGAATGCCTGTAGTTAACAAAGAAAAGCAAAAAAAAAAGAAACATTTGGTTGGGTATTGGGCCTTCAAGCTGGATAATATRTGTGCAAGGGAAAAAAATAGTTTAATGAAGAGCGGGCAGAATGCAACATGGATTTAAAGACTAATTTTTCACTGTGTGTCTGATTGCCTGCCCTGCCTGTCTCCACACAAGTGGAGGTGATAACATTTTGGAGAGAAGGCTTATTTATGCTAAGGGGCCATGCAGGCGGGGCTGGAATCAGTGTGAATTGTCCAAGAAGAACAATGGCTGAATCTCTTTAACTGTCACAATAATGGGGCTGTGTAATTGCTTTTCTGTCTGAACACCAGGCAGCAAGACCTAGAGCCTGGAGACAGAGCAAGCCTGTAACAGGGCACATTCTGGCAGGCACAGGATGTTAAAAATGAACGCCAACAAAAAAAAATTGCTTTCAGGCCTGTGTATATTTGAGACASTGCTGTCTTAGTTTGGTTGTGCTGACTCAGTTTTGTGCTCTGYGAGGAGAAGGGCTCTTCCTGCAGGTGTGGGTGGCCAGCCCTCGCCCTCCTGTTGTGTTAGGAGTGGGTGAACRCAGAAGAAAATAGACTGGACACAGAAAAAGTCTCTGGGATTGTGGGCAGACAGCTGTGCTGCTCTCCCCAGCAAACCAGCAAGGAAAGCTGAGGCTTCTGCGAGGGTGGAAGGATTGGGTAATGCATRTCAGTGAGAGGAAGCGCTCAGGAAAATCAGGAGAAAATCAGTGGGTTTTTCTACCTGAATAAAAATCAGGGCAGGTGCCTCGAGTGCAAAGAAATGGTGACAAAGATAAWGCAGGARCTGAACCTGAGACAGCTTCAGAGAKCAGAGCTGCCCTGGAGGWGTAAAAGCAGCAGAGGGAAGGGGGAAGTGAGGAGTGGGAAGGGCAGGTGGGATGGGTTTGTGCTGCTGCTTTTGCCCTCCTCTTGCAGCTGAGCCCCTGGGCTGCTGTGGCTGGCCAGGCTCTGGGATGGACTGTAGGGCTGAAAGATGCAGATACCCCAAAAATAACTTACAGAAGCTGTGACAAGACTGGCCAACTCCAGCTGGATGCAAATAACCTGGAAATTCCTCTGCAACAGCTACAAGCCAAGACTTTCAGGGTGGAAGACCTAATGCACATCTCCTGAGTGAGTGGAGGGGATTCACAGCAGAGCTGGCCCTGTGCAGGGGACACTGAAACCAGAACCAGCACTGTGTGACAGAACCAGCCTTGGTGATGTGAGGCCAATAAAAATAATTCATGGCTTGTGCTGGGTCTGAGGCATGAGGGGAGTGAGGCTAAAAGAGAAAATCTGAGTGGTTTGGTCCTGTGGACATGGGGAGCCACAGAGGTTGTTCTTACAGGAACAAATGTGTGAAGGTTTCACWGGCAGGGAGGGCAGGCAGTGCAACMCATGAAGATTGATATTGCTAATTGTGATTTTGTCAGCTCAGTGTGCACTGGAGGTTATGGAAAGCTCCAAAGAGTGACCTCTGAGAGAGCTGGGGGTCTGCTGTGCCACAGAAAAAGGAGAGTGAGCAGTGCCTGTGTGAGGTCTGTGACAGGAGGATCAGCCTGATGCCACCCACGGGATCCAAAGGGATGAGTTTTCCTATAGGGAAGAGCCATGAGAGCGGAGCAGGATTCAGGGGGTGCCTGTGTGGGACACAAACACCCCCTCCACGGTGCACAGAGCCTCCCATCAGATTTGGGATGATCCCCCCTGGGTGGTTCTGAGGCGACTCTGACCATCCTGCACCCAGTCCTGTGCCCATCTGCGGAGGGGGCTGCCTTTCCCAATCCCTGTGGTGCTGTCCCTGCAGGCTCCTGGCAGTGCCAGCTGTGGATCCTGGCCGCAGTGGGGCACAGAGAGGCTGTGTGGGAAATGCATTGCTGACAACTGGGAGCTTAAACCAAATCTGTGTGAGTGCAGCACAGCCCAGCCTACTGAAAGGCAGGTGCAGCTCTGCCACTGAAGCCAGAGTCCCCATGGATATGTGCCCAGCTGTTCAGAGTGGGTGGCTGTGGCCCCGTCTTGTCCCCAAGGTGCCTGGAGCTGTGCTGCCACAGGCAATGATCTGTTTTCTGTRTTTTTTGGGTTTTTTTCTCCTCCCTGCTATTTTTGGAGCAAGCTTTAGGGGTGGATTCCAGCCCAGCAGAGGGGAGGTGGGCTGCACTCCCAGGTCACCTTCCCTCGGCAGAGTCTGGCAGGGGGCAGAAGCATGGCCGTGTGTCTGTGGTTTGGGGTGTTTGGCACCCTGAGCCCAGGGAGGTGGCTGTGCCCCAGGGGTGTCAGTGACTCTGTGAGGGGCTGGGTGGGCCAGGGGGACAGGGAGGGGTGGCTGCCACTGGCACTGAGCAGAGTGGCACAGGGACAACCCTCATAGCAGAGTGGCACAGGGACATCCTCATAGCAGAGTGGCACAGGGACATTCCCCATTGCAGAGTGGCACAGGGACACCGCCATTGCAGAGTGGCACAGGGACATTCCCCATAGCAGGGTGGCACAGGGACATCCCCATAGCAGAGTGGCACAGGGACATCCCCCATTGCACAGTGGCACAGGGACATTCCCCATAGCAGAGTGGCACAGGGACATTCCCCATAGCAGGGTGGCACAGGGACATTCCCCACTGCAGAGTGGCACAGGGACATTCCCCATAGCAGAGTGGCACAGGGACACCCCCCATAGCAGAGTGGCACAGGGACACCGCCATTGCAGAGTGGCACAGGGACACCGCCATTGCAGAGTGGCACAGGGACACCCCCTTTGCAGAGTGGCACAGGGATACCCCCATAGCAGAGTGGCACAGGGACACCCCCTTTGCAGAGTGGCACAGGGACATCCCCCATTGCAGAGTGGCACAGGGACA